TTTATACTGAAAGGCATCACATCCCAATTGATCTTGGAAGCTAAGAGTGAAGAGGGGGAGCCAGGAAGAAAGAGTTCCACCATGTCTCCTGGGTCATCAGTTGGGAGCCCCCCCCCCCCCGCAACAACATAGTAATGTATAATACTAATATTGTGCTGTGTTAATATTATAATATATTGTATACACATATAATATTGATAATAATATTATAATGTAATGCAATATAATACTAATAATACAATATAATAATTATATATTTTATATTACATGTAATATTACTAATATTAGAGTATAGTGGTATAGTACAATAAAGTAATGTATAATACTAATATTGTGCTGTGCTAATCATATAATATATTGTATACACATATAATATTTATAATATTATAATGTAATACAATATCATACTAATAATACAATATAATAATTTTATATTTCATATTACATGTAATATTACTAATAATATTACAGTATAGTGGTATAGTACAATATAAGGAAATGGTAAAGGTTTTTCTGACAATAAGTCCAGTTGTATCCGATTCTGGGGGTTGGTGCTCATCTCCATTTCTAAGCCGAAGAGCTGGCATTGTCCGTAGACACCTCTAAGTTCATGTGGCCAGCAAGACTACATGGTGTGCCGTTACTTTCTCACTGAAGTGGTACCTATTGATCTACTCACATTTGCATGTTTTTGAACTGCTAGGTTGCCAGAAGCTGGGGCTAACAGCAGGAGCTCACACCGCTCCCCAGATTCGAACCTGTGACCTTTCGATCAGCAAGATCAGCAGCTCAGCGGTTTAACCCACCACACCACTGGGGGCTCTCATATTACAATATAGCAATATCTAATACAAATATTGTGCTATTAATAATATAATATATTATATGTATATATAACTTGTAAACTGCTCTAAGTCCCCTTTGGGGTGAGAAGGGTGGCATATAAATGTCATAAATAAAATAACAATATAAATATAAGCAGCGTTAGCTCCTATTCATACTTGGGTTGCAGATCGTCAAAGAACATCAGGTACTGTAAGCTATATTTCAGAGGTAGAAAATAGCAAACCCACATCTGACTATTCCTTTCCTAAGGAAACCCTATGAAAACCTTTATGGGGTCACCGTACGTCAACAGGCCACTTGAAGACACATATGCACGTACTCATATCCCTTGATGGATGTGGTTGACAGTTCTGCTTTGTGCATCAGATCAGTATGCTGATAAGTTTGGGGAAGAGATCTCAAGTTGTCCCTGCATGCCTGGTATTTTTCTGCAGTATCTTGTGTCAGGGTTTGGACAGGCTTCAGGCTCCTGCAATCTACTTTTCTGTTTTTCTTTGCTGAGACCTCAGGGCGCACCACCTGAGTAGCAAAACAGTGGTTACAAGCAGATTAAAATGCAAGCAGGATTATAGAAAAGTGATGCCTCCAAGCATAGGTTGAAGATCAATTTGATTTAGGTATACAAACTGAATCTGTCAAACTTTTTACAGAAAAATCTTTTAAATTTTTTCCCCCACACAACCATTCCTGAGAGTTTTAAAATTTCAATCAGCTCAAGAAAGGTGGGGAAACAATTTTGCTATTGGGTTACTGTGAGTTTTCTGGGCTGTAGGGCCATGTTCCAGAAGCATTCTCTCCTGACATTTCACCCACATCTATGGCAGGCATCTCAACATGTCAGCCTCTAAGGATGCCTGCCATAGATGTGGGCGAAATGTCAGGAGAGAGTGCTTCTGGGATATGGCCATGTAGCATGGAAAACTCACAGCAACCCAGTGATTTCGGTCATTAAAACCTCCAACAATATAAATTTTCTATTCCTGTTGTTAAAAGGTGTTGTTGTTCATTCGTTCAGTCACTTCCAACTCTTTGTGACTCATGAACCAGCCCACACCAGAGCTCCCTGTCAGCCGTCACCACCCCCAGCTCCTTTAAGGTCAAGCCAGTCACTTCAAGGATGCCATCCATCCATCTTGCCCTTGGTCGGCCCCTTTTCTTTTTTCCTTCCATTTTCCCCAGCAGCATTGTTTTTTCTAAGCTTTCCTGTCTTCTCATTATGTGGCCAAAGTACTTCATCTTTGCCTCTAATATCCTTCCCTCCAGTGAGCAATTGGGCTTTATTTCCTGAAGTATGGACTGGTTGGATCTTCTTGCGGTTCAAGGCACTCTCAGAACTTTCCTCCAACACCACAATTCAAAAGCATCTATCTTCTTTCGCTCAGCCTTCCTTATGGTCCAGCTCTCACATCCATAGGTGACTATGGGGAATACCATTGCTTTTACTATGTGGATCTTTGTTGCCAATGTGATGTCTCTACTCTTCACTACTTTATCGAGATTAGTCATTGCTCTCCTCCCAAGAAGTAAACGTCTTCTGATTTCCTGGCTGCAGTAATCTTTGCACCTAGAAATACAAAGTCTGTCACTGTTAAAAGGTAAGGAGCCAGTAATGGTCATTGGTCTGCTTCCAGTACATTGCAACTTACCTTTGTCCCATCTCATTTTAGGTCACCATGTTGTAAAATGTTTGAAAAATACTTCTGATGCTACTTTTTTATTATTACAGTTAATGCCCTGTGGTAGGAAAATAAAAGAAAGTAATCATCTTGGAGCTTGTTTTGTACTAGCCATTGTCATTTGGTCACTGCCTCAAAGGGCGGCTGTAAGGAGAAAATGGAAGAGGAAAATAACTCACATCACGTTGAGCTCCTTGATGAAAAAGGATGGGATAAAATGAATGTTTTAAAATAACCTTCCCTATTCCTTCTGAGCTCTTTGCAAAGTATAGGAGATTTTTTTTTGTTCCCACTTTCTTAATGATAAGCTTGCCTTCTCTTTAGTGATGATGTTAGGAGCCCCCGGTGGCACAATGGGTTAAACCTTTGTGCTGATAGGACTGAAGACCAACAGGTTGTAGGTTCAAATCTGGGGAGAGCACGGATGAGCTCCCTCTGTCAGCTTCAGCTCCCCATGTGGGAAGAGAAGCCTTCCACAAGGATGGTAAAAACATCAAAAACATCTGGGTGTGCCCTGGGCAACATCCTTTCAGACGGTCAATTCTCAAGTCGCTCCTGACACGAAAAAAGTAATGATGTTGACTAAATTAGAACATAACTCCTATAATTTGGTTACCAACTATGTCTAAAGTATTTCATTCATTCTTACAGGCATGGAAACTTGTCTGTGAAATGGAGACAATTATATATGTGCATGTTACAAAGTTTCTGCTTGGGGAAAACAACCCATCAGAAATTTTGTAACATGGATCAGTTACATGATAACCATCTTTAAATATCAGAAGAGATATGTTAAAGATGAGGTGAGTTTGTTTTCTGTTGCTCCAAAGACCAGAAAAACAAACGATCAATTCAAATTATAAGAAAGGACATTTAACCAAATATTGACATGACCATCTCAGACAATGTATCTAGTGCAGGCATGATCTATCTATCTATCTATCTATCTATCTATCTATCTATCTATCTATCTATCTACCTACCTACCTACCTACCTACCTACCTATCTATCTATCTCTATCTCTATCTAATCTATCTATCTTATCTATCTGGAGGATTGCTGGGAGTTGTGGTCCAGAAATAGGAAATATGCAGGGATTGGGATGCTCTCAAAGAAATCCAAGGAGAAGAAAGCTTGCATTTTGGAAGCAGTGCATTTAGATCACCCTCCTCTCCTAAAGGGCCTGGTCTAGGGGATGCTGGGAGCTGTAGTCCAGAAGAGAGTGTGGATATGCTCTTGTGCATTTTGTTTGGCAGGGGGAGTTGTTTTTGCACATGCACTGTAGCTGCTATTGCCTTTTTTGGCTTTTAAAGTCCCTTCTGCTGTGTTTTTCAGTGAGTGATGGTCACTCGTTGGCCTGATTGCTGTATTGTGTCCAAATTTGGTGTCAGTTCGTCCAGTGGTTTTTGAGTTATGTTAATCCCACAAACGAACCTTACATTTTATTTATATACTAGCCCTCCCCTGCCATGCGTTGCTGTGGCCCAGTCTGTGTATATGTGTTTTGTGTGTGTATGTATATGTATATATATCTCCCTGTGTGTGAATCATATATATCTATCTATATCTAGGGCTGGATGGCTCTTTGTCAGGAGAGCTTTGATTACATTTTCTTGCCCTGGTGAAGGGAGTTGGACTCGATGGCATTAAGTGGGTTCTGTGTGGGAAGTTTTCCCCAATTCTGTCATTGGTGGGATTCAGAATGCTCTTTGATTGTAGGTGAGCTATAAATCCCAGTAACTACCACTTCCAAATGTCAAGGTCTATTTTACCCAAACTCCATCTGTGTTCATATTTGGGCATATGGAATATTTGTGTCAAGTTTGGTCCAGATCCGTCATTATTTGAGTCCATAGTGCTCTCTGGATGTAGGTGAACTATAACTCCCAAACTCAAGGCCAATGCCCACCAATGCATTCCGGGTTTTTTTTCTCCTGTTGGTCATGGGAGTCCTGTGTGCTAAGTTTGGCCCAATTCCATCATTGGTGGAGTTCAGAATGCTCTTTGATTGTAGATGAACTATAAATCCCAGCAACTACAACTCCCAAGTGACAAAATCAATTTTTTTTTAGTGAAGGACATACATTGGGTTGTTAGGTGTCTTGTGTCCAAATTTGGTGGCAATTCGTCCAGTGGTTTTTGTGTTATGTTAATTCCACAAACGAACATTACATTTTTATTTATATAGATCATCATTATTAGTGATCTTATAGTTTGCCCCCCCCCCCCCCCGCTGTCTCCCAACTTGGGGATGGAGTCATCCGCCCAGGTAAAGCGGAAGAGGCAGGGCTGTGGGGTGGGTTCTCCCTTCCTCTCCCTTGGCTTTCCTTCCTTCCTTCCTTCCTTGGCTCACCTGGCGCGTCCGGCGGCGAGGAAGGGGTTAACCAGGTGTCTCCTTCCGCCCGGGGAAGGGCCGCACCCGCTCCGGCTGCAGACGAGCCGATGAGTCAGTTTCACCTGAAACTCTCCGCCAGGTAAGGAAAGGGACGCACAAGGAGACAGGCAGGAAGAGACGACATACACACACACACAAAAGGAGGAACACTCGGAAGTCCCCAGAAAGAGGAAGAAGAAAGGAACTTCGACGCCTTTCCGAAGCTGCGGTGAGAGAACCTCGCACTCTCTGAAGAGCAGGCAGGCAAGCCATTGCTTTTGTGGGCGAGTTATCGGAAAACGCTCCTGAATCAAAGTTTGGGGAGTTGAGTTTCCTCAAAGGAGGGAATCTTCACGTCCGGAGGAAGAAGAAAGCCCCCCGAAAAGTCTCTCCTCTGCCTCGAGGCCATGGCTGGCTATCTCGGGGGCTATCTCCTGGCCGGGCTCCTGGTGGCCGGGCTGTCCCTGGGCCAGGAGGAAGGCGCGCCCGAAGGAGGCCTCCCTTTCGGGGAGCAGTGCCTGGCCCACTTCACGGCCGGCTTGCCCGAGTTCGTGCTGGACCCCGACGCCTCGGTGCAAAACGGGGCCACCTTCCTGGACTCCCCGCCTGTGGAGAGGGCCCGCGACTGCGTCCGCGAGTGCTGCAAGCGGCCCCACTGCAACCTGGCCTTGGTGGAGGAGGAGCCCGGGCAGGAGGGCCAAGATGGCATCCGGAGCTGCTTCCTCCTCGACTGCCTCTACGACCAAGCCTTCGTCTGCAAGTTCGCCAGGAAGGTCGGCTTCCTCAACTACGTCAAGAGGGACGTCTACGACGCCTATGTGGCCATGAAGGAGCAAGGCACCAACGGTAAGGAAGGAAGGAAGGAAGGAAGGAAGGGTCGGGACCCTCCAGGACTGGGCCAGGGAAAGGGAAGCTGGCCATGCATTGTCTCCCTCTGGAGCAAGGCCTCTCTTGGGGTTCCATGGCTCCATCACCAAGGTTGCATCTACACCAGGAAAGGGCCAACTTGGACCATCCCTCCAGGTGTTTTGGACTTCCACTCCCACCATTCCTAGGCCTCAGGCTCCTTCCTTTCCCCCCTCAGCCGCTTAAGTCCAAATACTTGGCCCCAAAGCCAAGACTGGAGTGTCTTCCTGAAGGGGAGAAGTGAAGGAGTCTTCCTGATTTCACTGGGGAGTGCATTCCACAGATGGGGGGCCACCACCAAGAAGGCCCTGTCTCTCGTCCCCGCCAATCGTGCTTGCAAGAGTGGCAGGATCGAGAGCGGGGCCTCTCCCGACAATCGTAAACTCCAAGGTGGGCCATAGAGATACATTCAAACAATTAGGTTTATATATCTGTGGAAAGTCCAGGGTGGGAGAAAGAACTCTTGTCTGTTTGAGGCAAGGTGATCAATTGCAACATTCACACTTGTCTTCAACAGACAAGAGTTCTTTCTCCCACCCTGAACAACCCCACTTGCTGAGGGGGGAAAGGAAAGGGCCAGAGGCTGTTAGGAATGGTGGGAGTTGAAGTCCACAACACCCAGAGGGAGTGCTCAAGTTGGCCCATGCTTGATCTACACTGTAGAATGAATGCAATGCATTTTGTCCCAGTACATCCTGGAGTAGGGCATTCATTGGGGTTCCATAACCACATCCACACTGGGAAACTAATTAATTTTGGTACCACTAACTCCCATGACTCCATACCCCATGGCCTTCAACCTCGATATGAAACCATTAAGAGGGATTGTAAGGGCTTTTGGGGTATGTGGCATAGACAACAGCCACCCTTACTTATCCTTGAGGGTTTTCACACTGTGGAATGAATGAGGCTTGGTCCAACATGAACTGCCCCAGCTCAATATCACTCAACATCTATGAAACCACTATGGCTGAATCTACACTGCCTTATACCCCAGGATCTGCTCCCTGATTAGAATAATATTTATACCCAGCCACCATCTCCCCGAAGGGACTCGGAGTGGCTAACGTGAGGCCAAGCCCAAGTAATTGCAATAAGGCAAAAATAAAATACAGACAATAACATCAAATAAAATGCTTAACAATAACAAAATAATACAATAAAATAATGTCAATAACATAATAACACAAAATAAATAAAAATAAAAATGATAAAAGAAATTAAACAAGGCGAGCTGGGCCAAATGCAAAGGGTAAAATTGTAAAACCCCTGGGTGAGATAGATAAATAGTATGCTGATTATCTGATTATCCCAGATTATCTGGCAGTGTAGACTCATAAAATCCAGTTCAAAGCAGATAAGCTGGGATTGGATCCTGGGGCATAGGGCAGTGTAGATCCAGCCTACGAGAAATCTTAAAACAGTGGTTTTCAACCTGTGGGTCCCCAGATGTTTTGGCCTACAACTCCCAGAAATCCCAGCTAGTTTACCAGCTATTAGGATTTCTGGGAATTGAAGGCCAAAACATCTGGGGACCCACAGGTTGAGAACCGCTGTCATAAAGGCCTTTGGAGGTATGCAGCATAAGTATGCTGATGGCAGCCATCTCTAGTTGGTGCTCATCTTCATTTCTAAGCCAAAGAGCCAATGTTGTCTGTAGAACCTTCAAGGTCATGTGGCCAGCATGACTGCATAGAGCGCTGTTACCTTCTCGCAGTTTTTGAACTGCTAGGTTGGCAGAAACTGGGGCTAACAGCAGGTGCTCATCCCACTCCCTGGATTTGAAGCGCCAACCTTTTAGTCAGCAAGTTCAGCAGCTCAGTGGTTTAACCTACAATGTATAAATATTAAAACACAACTAAACCTAGAATTGTTAAATCAGTTGAAATCACCGAAAACTGTCAAAACTGTCAAAACTACAAAGAAACCTCTGTGCTAGTCTTGGGGTCACCATAGGTTGGAAACATCTGGGAGGCACACAACAACCTTTTTATAACAATAATTATAGTTTGCAGCAGAAGCTCTCTTTATTGCTCAGGAGATGACAAGTCACATTAAGCAGCATAGCCTACAAATACAGGAGTAGAAATACTCCAACCTCTATCCTATGATACTATCCCAATCCTTGGCTGGGGCAATACATTCAGGAACTGTATAGCCTTCTGAAGGGCTGAAACCAAATACCATTAAGCTGACTGGTCTTTGACTGAAAAGGGAACAGATATGTACAGGGTGGGCAAAGCTATTAATGGCTATTAGTCATGGTGGAGGTGCACAGTCAAGACAGTAGGGTGGTTAGGCATTAATACAGCTCAGCAATCTTGGGTTGGTCTCTGTCTCTCTTTCTCTGCATGACCTTTCTCACAGGGTTGTCGCTATGAGGACTAAGTGGGGAGGAGGCGAGCCATGTGGGTCGCCTTGATGTCATAGGATGAAAGGAGGGATAACAATAAATGGATAGTCTCCAATATCAGAGACTTTTGTATGGCTTTGAATGCCAGTGGATGGGGAACAACAAAGGTCATGTTCTGTTTATAGATTTCCCACATTTGGTAGCCTCTGTCAGAAATGAGCTTCTGAACTAGATAGACTTCTGTTCTCACTCTATAAGGCTCTTATGCATCATTTACTACAGTTATCACTCCACATTTGCAGTTTTGGATTTTGAAGATTTCATTATTTGTGGATTTGATTAAAAATGTACTCTTGGAATATGTAGGTCTTCCAGTGTGACTTTGTCATCAGTTTATCCCTGTCATGTTGGAGGATCACTAGAGAAAACACCTCTTTAGGGATCTCCCCTTTCTCTAATGTAATCGTATGATCAGTTTGCGGTGGATGTTGACCATAGACTTATGCTGGAAAACTTAGAAAGATTATAGGGGGAAAATTTTCATGGGGGAAAATTGACATTTAATTTGCAGTTTTTCACTTTTACAGGGCTCCGTGCCTCTAGCCCAGGCATGGGCAATCTTTCTAACTTGGGGGCTGCATGGTAGGCTGGAGTGGGGTGGGTGGGCTGGGAGGAAGGGGGTTCTTCCCAAGTTCCCTCCCCTTCCTCTTCTTCTTTTGGAGGCAAAAGGTGAAGGAAAGACAGGAAACATTTGAACCTCGAAAGGGTTGGTCTTGGCCAGGATTAGATGGTGAACGGGAGAGAAAAAGTATCCATTAGACCCCATATTGCATATTCCTGATATAGAATCCTAGAGTTGGAAGAGATCTCCAAGGGCCATCCAGTCCAATCCCCTGCCATGCAGGAAGGCACAATCAAAGCAGTCCCAAGAAGCTCCTGCAGAAAAGGAGGCTCCACCACACTCCAAGTCAGCCTATGCCACTTTCCAGGAAGTTCTTCCTAATCTTTTCAGTTAAATGTCTGTCCCTGCCATTTGAAACAATTGCTCCCTTGTGCCCTGGTCTCTAGAGCAGTAGAAAATAATTTTTCCCCTCCTCCTCAATGGGACACCCTTTAAAATGGTTCTCATGTTCCCTCTCTAACTTCTCTTCTCCCAGCTAAACATCCTCCAGGAGGAAAGGAGGAAGGAAAAAGAGAAGGAAGGAAGAAAGGGTAAAAGAAAAGGATGGATGGAAGGGAATGGAGGGAGGGAGGAAAGATAGAAGGAAGGAAAGACAAAACAGAAAGAAGGAGGAAATTGTGGAAGGGAATGCAGGGAGGGAGAAACAAGGAGGGAGGAAAGAGGGAAGGACAAGAGGAGGGAAGGGAAGGAAAGAGGAAGGGAAGAAAGAGACAGAGGGAAGGAGGAAGGAAAGACAGAAGGAAAGAAGGATAGGATTGTGTGAGAGAGGAGGGCCTGAGAAAAGAGCTCAAGGGGCCACATGTGGCCCCTGAGCCTGGGTTTGCCCATAGCTGCTCTAGCCTCAACAAATACAGAGGAATGACTGTATTTCAGCTGGTCCTGCTGAGGTTCTGATGGCTCTCTAGAAAAGGATTATATAAACATGAGAATGACAGATCTGTTACCAAGATAGTTAAATAAAGCCTCTGTGTATAGGAGGAGCATATCTCCTCCTGGGTACAAACTATAGGAGTAATTCATTGCTTTCATGAAAATGAGTGTCAGGAACTTACCATATGCTTATCACTATTGATAATAGAGTGTTGTATCTGATGGAAGTTGATCAGATCTAGGAAGACAATTGATCTGCATAAGTCAAGCATTACTATTTAACCCGGGCATGGGCAAACTTTGACCCTCCAGCTGTTTTGGACTTCAACTCCCACAATTTCTAACAGCCTACTGGCTGTTAGGAGTTGTGGGAGTTGAAGTCCAAAACACCTGGAGGGCCAAAGTTTGCCCATGCCTAAGTTAACCCTTTCTCTTCATCATTAGTTAATAGATCTTCAGGCTTCTTCCTGAATTGGAAGAAGGTCCCATGTTCCTCAAAGTATGGTACTAACTATTGTTTATATTTCTTTATGTGTAAATACAAATCCTTCACATGATAAAAATCCATCCTGAATCCCCATTAGATCATGTTGAAAAGTATTTTCATGAATACATTTTTAGATGGGAAATATATTTTCTAAAGGCAGATTATTTTTACCTCACAAATGAACAAATTTTGAATGCACTCTAGTTATTTGTCCCTCAGGCCCTGATTCTATTTTGGAGATGTTACATGTTCAGTGGACAAAATCGTTGCTGGGGAGCAAGCTGGGCAAAAACCAAATGGCACCTCAGGCAAAGAGCATCTTTTATTCCTCCCTACTTTTGTTTTGTTTTGTTTGTTTGTTTTGTTTCCATTTCCATGGATTAGAACAGAACTATTCAAATATGTGCAGTTTGAGTGGCACAAAACTTATATTATGTCCCTTTGAGCATTCACACTGACAAAAAACCACAAAGCAAATGTTAAAGCGGTTTTCCCTTGCTAGTTCCCATGTTTTAATCCTGGCAAAAGTTTGTTTTGAGAGAGTACTT